TAGGAGCAAGGTCTGACTAAACAGAAAATAGAAATCCAAGCTGGGGAAGTTAAAGGATGAAGAATGAGCCCCTGGATGACCCTTGTGGGGCTTGCTCACCCCAAGAGCTGCAGTGTCTTTTTCCCGTGCTTGTCTGGCCCGTTTCATCCCCTCCCAGGCAAGACAGTAGGACCCCTTCTCTGCCCTGCACCAGGCAGTGACTGACATGTCACCTGCTCACAAGAGATACAAACCTGAGACCCTGGAGACTCACAGCAGCTCATCTGTACTGATTTCTGCACCAAAACATCACTACTGATCCTTAACTCACAGAGAGTCCTCCAAGGCTCCAGCTATTAAAGATGAACTGTTGTCTTGCAGAGCGGGAAGAAAGCTGGGTGCATGGCAAAGCCTGTGGAAGAGGTTGGCAGCCTGCTCCTCAGAGACCCTGCTCTCAACTTGCAGGGCATCTCCTCCCCTGTATGGTCTCAAATGGGATGGACTGGGCCCTAAATGTGAAGGGGAAGCACCTCAGAGCACACATGTGCACTCCAGCCATGCCCTTCTCACTGCCAGACCTTTCAGTTCAGCACCCAGGGAGCTGCCAAAGCTTAGTTTGATTACTACCTAATTAGCAATGCCACGCTGGTCACATGAACAGGACCCATGAGAGAAGAGGAGATGGGCCACATGGCAGTTCCTTAACCAAATTAAACAGAGAGAACACACAGAAAGGAAGAAATGCCATTTTACCTCTAAGGAGTAGAGGTATCCAGGGTTCTCGTGCATCAGGTAAGGCCACCAAAGGTTTGGGTTCAGGACTTTGAGCTCTCCCTCTGGCCCATCTCCTGTGGCAACCACTTTCCCCTCCTGGTCACGTAAACTCAGGGACAAGGAATAGGCTGTGCTGCCAACAACTGACACCTCGTACTGCACCATTGCTGGTTCGAAGGAAACAACAGACCATCAGAGACTGACACAGCAGGGAAAATACTCGTATCACATGCTGGGGTTTCACATACAACAGCATTAAAAATGAGGGAGATGTAGAACAACAACAGTGGCATGAATCGAGTGTAAGAAGCAGGACCTGTCTGTCTTGTAGTCCAGAATATTCCAACAAGATTTGTTGTGTACCACACAGCTCTCACTCGGAGATAATCCTGCTCTAAGTGGCAGGAAGACTGCTCCTCCCGAGAAATTCTACTTTGAGAAACACCTGATCATCCCTGGACTTTAACAAAATTAGTCTCTTGCAACAACTTCTTGGTTTTGTTACTGTTTCTGAACCCTTCACCACATTCCTGCAGCTGCTGAGCTGTGCAATAGGCCAGCTCAGCTTCAAGAGAGAGCCACGAGCAAACAAATTCAGTCAGGCATTTGCAGGATATTTTCTCTGCTGCCCTTGTCATCTCCATTTGGAGTCTGAGGTAGCTGCTGTAATTGTTCTGGACCTACCAACATGCTCTGATGAAGTAGTTGTCACAGTAATGTCATCTATGTAGGCAGAAGGAGTGGTGTAAAGCACAACCGGGCGATGGATTCCAGCGTAATTAAAGAAATCAAACTTGGTGTTCTGCACAAAATAGTTCTTGGGATACCTGAGTGAGCAAGACAAGGAGAAGTGGCTACATTATGCTTCACTGCACATATGGATGCTGGCAATGCAAAACAGTCAAGCAATCACAGCTGCTGGCTGGTAAAATAGTCTTTACAACAGAGTGGATCTGTCTTTCAGTGGTGCTGCTGCTGCTGCTACACTAAAGGATTCTGCCAGCTAACAAACATCTGGAGCCCAAGGAGTTTGATCCTTCGGTTTCCAGCTGAATTCAAGCTTCTCAAATCTGCCATTGATTCAGCTTGACAAATCACTTAATCTCAGCTCCCTGTGTATAAAAGAGATGCAATCACTCAGTGCTGATTTCTTGTAGCACCAAAGCTTAAACTCCTCCCTGCTGCTCGACTGCTGAATTTCAGCATAAATACAATCCCGTGCTTTTGTGAGTTGCTTGGAGCACCAGCAGCTGAATAAATTCCCACTCCCCCATCCCTGGGATTAACCCAGCAGTGCAGCACCTTGGCAACTCACCTTGTTTTGTCAGTCATGTACTGGATGGACCCCGGGGGCAGAGTGTGGGGTGTCAGGGTGTTGTTGACCGCGACAGTGATGCGGCACAGGCTCCCTGGGCTGCCCTGGACAACGCTGCTGATATCAGCTTCAAAAGGGAGGTGTCCCCCTTCGTGCTCCACCACTTGCACCCCGTTGACCCACTGCAAGAGAAGACACCCCAAAAAATGGAGTTATTGGGGGTTTTGTGGCAAGCAAAGCACAGAGAAGGGAAGGAGCCCAGCGAAGGGCAGTCAGGATTCCCAGCAACACTGGACCTTTTTCTAGGCTCTTGATCCTCACAGGATCAATCCAGAAGCCCTTCCTTTGCCAAGAGATAGGTCTGGTTTACCTACAAATATCACCAAGAGACACAGTAGTGAGGAAATATTTAGGAACTAGTCCTGATATTGGAGCATCGAAGAGAAACTGGAAATCACGGCCAAGTTCTTGGCTGGGGGAAATCAGGCGAGAGTGAAGAAGACAGCAAAGAGATACAAAATCTAGCGAAGGGATACAAGACATCTAGGCAGAGATGTCTTTGCTGAGCAAGCCACGAGCCCAGTGGTAGTGCAGCACAATTTTGGAAGCACATGGACAATTTCACTTACCACGATGGAGTAGTAATGGGCACTCCCAAAACGCAGCACCACTCTGGTGCTGGGGGAGTCCTGCAGCCAGCGGGCAGGGAGCAGCACCTCCTTCTCATACCACACCCAGCCGATGTAGTTCTCCAGGCTGGGGTCCTGGGTGATGTCGTTGAAGCTGGCGGGCACCGGCATGTCGATCACAGGGCCGGTCTGCCGGGAATTTCATGGAAAGGGAAGGAAGAGATCATTTAAAAAGAGAAATGTTACTGCTGGAGGTGTCCCCTTACAATCCCATTGCCAAGGGGGAAATAACTTGGGAAAACCTGTTTAGAAATTGGTGTGGTCTGTCACAGGTCCTGCACAAGTCCTGAATAGCAGCAGGCACGGGAATGTGCCCTTTCCTGCAGGAAACAGCTGCTCGTATCTTTTCCCTTCCTGATGTACAATGAAGTGCTCTTGTTAATGGCTCTGGTGTCATGGAATCAGAGAGGTGAGGGAGGGAAAAAGCCAACTCAGGTTGTTGGTTTAGCCCAGGGTTTCCCACAGCCTGTGTTTTTTCCTGCACAGCTCCAGCTGTTGGGTGAGCAGTGCAGGGGTTGTTGGGGTGATGCTTGTCAGGTTAGGAGCTGTAGTAAAAGGGTGGCAAGACCAATGGATATTTTGGGACAGATTCCTCAGGGAAGGTTTGTGGAGACTGTTTGGAATGAGTTCAGCCTTTCTCAGCTCCTGAAAGCAACAGAAATTCCTTGGGGTTACAACTGAATCACTTCACTTGCTTATTTTAAGGTAAGGGTTAGAGGGTGGCAGTGTCACACTGAACATCGAGGTGCTGCTGCCAAACAGAGCTGCTCATTTTTAGCACCTGCTGAGCTCGTGATGTTGCACAAGCAAGTGCTGCAGCAGCTTCCCCTTTCCTCAGGAAGCCTTTCCAAGGAGAGGGGAACAAGGAAGGTCCGGTTGCCCAGGGTGAGCATCATGTGGGCAGCTGACTCAGCACCAGCACTGCAGAGAACTCGGTGCCTTTATCAGACACAAGAAAATCCCAGTGGGAAAATCCTTGGATGGTGAAGCAGATTTTCTAGTATTTGATGCAGGACATCCTTTGACTGGGATGGCCAGAACATGTGTGTCCTTCTGGGAGATCCTCTGATGCTTAAAGCAGGTTAAGTGCACATGTCTAAGCCTCCCTTTGTGGGGGAATAGTTCAGGATTCCTCTCCACTGGCTGGCACTTCCAGCAGAACAGTGTCTTTCAGCTCTTCTCCCCTTCCACAATTTCACCCAAAATTTAGTCAAAGGATTAAAAAGTAAGGATTATGAATAACTTACACACTTTATGCATAGAATACATAACTTCTCTCTTTTAGGTAATGGTCTTCATTTCCTAACAGATTTCAGTTACACTAAAACTGTGCTTATCAGCACTCCGCAACTTCGAAATAAATAATTCCAGTGCCCTTTCCAGGCACGCTGCTGTTTATCCTGAGCTGCTGACGGGCGGGTCAATGCTGTGCGAGCCCAGCCTGGCTCCTGCAGCTCAGGGCAGCTGAAGGTGGCTGTGGTTCATTCAAACGGTTCCTGCCCTCAGAGCAGCCGCGGGATCATCACAAGGATCACCAGAGGCTGCTGCTAATTAGGACCTGCCTCAGGAATAACCTCTGCACGGCCCTAACCGAGCGCAGGGCGGGGGGCGAAGGGCAGCGGCTCCGCAAGCCCGGCGGGGAAGGAAGGGGGAAGGAAGGGAGAAAGGAAGGAAAGGGGAAAACGGCGCTCTCGGGGCGGGATGAAGCCTGGTTTGGAGGGGTCCCGCACCCCGAGCCCCGGGATGGAGCCCCCCATCCCCCCCGCCCCCGGTACCTGCCGGAGCGGCTGCCGGTACCAGCGCTGCGAGAACCCGGCGTTCCTGCCCGGGGACAGGTCGGCGCGGAAGCTCCAGAGGCCGCCGAGCTCCTTGCGCTCCCGGGAGGGGGTGTCCCGGGGGGGCAGCATCCCGGGCAGCGCCGCCGGGAGCAGCGGGAGCAGCAGCAGCAGGAGCAGCGGGCACAGCCCGGCCGCGCTCCCGCCCGGCGCCGCCGCCGCCATCTTGGCTGTGGGCAGTGCCCGGCCGGGGGCGGGGCCGATCCCTGTCCCGGTCCCCATCCCGGTCCCGCCCCGATGGGATGGGATGGGATGGGATGGGATGGGATCTGGTGCTGTCCCACGGGTCACCGGCGGGCAAAGTCACCGCTATCCTGGCGGGGAGGAGCTTGCAGGTCGTGGGCTGTGTCCAGGGATTTCCTCGGGTGGAGTACGGCTTTCGTTTCTTATTTATTTATTTATTTATTTATTTATTTATCCATCTGTTTATTTATTGTTTTGTTACTTAGGGGGGGTTAAGTGTTGCCTACTTTTATTTATTGATTTGAGTTATTGTTGAGTTATTGACTGAGTTATTGTGTCGTTGCTTATGGGTTTTAAGTTATTTTATTGCCTACTTTATTTATCATTTCATTACTTGGTTTAAAGTTATTAATTGCCTAATTTGTTTGTTTGTTTGTTTGTTTACTGTGTAACTGCTTAGGGGCTATCATTTATTTATTGCCTCTCTCATTTATTTATTGCCTGGGAGTGGGAGCAAAGAGCTGGGAACAGGAAGGTCGGGTTGGCTGAGATGTGTGAAGGCACCACGTGGACAAACACCAGCCTCCCCCAACAAACACACCCTGCTGCTCTGCACCTCCCATCCCTCGAGAGCTTCAACACCCCACAGCCAGCTCCTCTGCCAGGTTCACACACCAACCCTCGCCAGGGCCGAGGAACCCCGGCCCCGAAGAACAAAGACGCAAGATGAGTTTTGGTGAACTACAGACACCCCAGTGTTTATGAACTCTCTCCCCACACTCTAAGCTTGTTCCTTCAGCCTCTTGAGCAGCTCCCGGAGCTGCTCGATCTGGGCGGACACGCTGCTCTTGGCGGTGCCGCCCAGGGCCGTGTACTGCTCCACGCTGCTGACCACGCTGAACACCTGGGACACGTCACTGCCGAACAGGGGGCTGGGGGGACAGGGGAGGGGTGTCAGTGGACAGCACGGGGGGCTGGAGATGCTTTATGTGCTCATTGTTTATAGAGGTGGTGAGAGAGTGAGGATTGAGCCTTTTTCCAAGGGGGGAAGGCCTCCTGCAGCTTTGTTTCTACACAGCCTGACAGAAGACGCTGGTGGCAGACCAAAGAGACAGCTCCCAGGGGAGATTGAGGAAGTTTGGAGCCAAACCCCACAGGGGGCTGGTGATTGCAGGCCAAGGCATGAGATTCTCCCAGTCCCTCCCAACAGCTGCTGCCTGTGCCCCACTGGAGCAGAATGGAAGTGACATTGTCCCCCTTCAGTGTTTTCAATCTCAACAGGAACAGCCTTGATATTCAGGCCAGGAGGATTTTGCGGCCCTGCCCGCCCAGGCACTTTGGGGAAGGGCTCATTCCGTGGGAGTCTGATCCCTGTCTGTGGAAGGAAATCAAGGCAAGGTGACAGTGACACAGACCTGATGCTCTTCAGGTCCTCCAGGCTGAGATTACTGATGGTGGTGCCTTTGGTCTCGGCGAGGTGGACGGCCTTGCCAGAGGCGATGTGGGCTTGTCTGAACGGCATCTGCAGTTGAGAAGGGGACAGAACAGAGGGCCTCATCTCACTGAGCAGTTCTCTGCATCCAAAGAAGTCAGAGCTCCAGGTTTCCCTCTGATACTCACTCCTTTCCGAACCAAGTAGAGAGCCAGGTCAGTAGCCAGCATCTCCGGGCTCAGTGCCCTCTCCATGTTCTCCTTGTTGATCTGCAGAAGGACAGTCAGATGGAGATGTTATCACCAGCTCCTCAGTGGTTAGTGGTCAAACTGAGGGGAATTCAGTGCTGGCTCTAAAAGGGTGCTCTGACCCCCTGAGCAGCTGACAGAGGGGACCAAAATGAGCAGTGTGGGGGAGGCACTGAAGAGTTTTCTTCCTGGGACTAGAGCTCTGTTCTCTGTGTTACAGAATGTGCACCATGACCACGTTCAGTAGCAAGAATCTGAAGAAGCCTTACCTGGAGGGTGGAAATCACTCCTGTGGCAACCTGGAGCACAGCATTCAGGGTGTCTACAACATCAAAGACGGCCTCCTTGTCCTCCTGTGTGAGAACAGGGATGGAAATGGCTGTAAGTCAGGCTGATGCAGCCCAAAAACCCACCAGGCTGAGCAGCCAGCTCTACTGGCTCCTCAAGAGAGCAGAAGACAGCTGTGTGTGCTCAGAGAGATGGTGTGAAAATCAACAAGTGCTTTACCTGCAGGTCCTTGTTGTAGGTGCTGGGGAGTCCTTTGAGGACCATGAGAATAGCAGCCAACTGCAGAGAGAGACAGGCAGGGCAGGGAGTTACAGGGCAAGGCACATCCCCCAGCACAGGTTCAGAGCCCAGGCTGAGGGAGAAGGAAGGTGCTTCAGCCCTGGCAGGAGCAGTTTCCCCTCCCACTCCCTTCTTTCTCAGGCTCACCCTTCCGAACACTCGTCCAGCTTTGCTGCGGATCAGTTCCAGACTGTCAGGGTTCTTCTTCTGAGGCATCAGGCTGCTGCCAGTGCTGAAAGGTGGGTGTTTGGAGTGCAATGGTGAGTAAGACCCCCCTCCATACAGACACAGCCCTTCAAAAGCAACACATAGGTCCCTCTTCCCTGTGCACCTCTTTATGGTGCAGGAAAGCAGTGAACTGACCGAGCTTCTCTTTGGTTTTGCAACTTTCCTGGAGCAGCCACACAGTCCCACCTCTCAAAAAGGAAGGAAAAAGGAGGCACCTCCCCACCAAGCCCTTCCAGGGTGGTTCCAGGGTGGTTTCAGCAGCCTAAGTGATGCTGTGACCTCAGAGAGGGAGGGCTGTGGTTGTGCCACTCTGGGAGACAAGGAGTCTGCTGGGATTGCAAACCCTGCTAGTCAAGGAAAATGCTTTGGCAGCATTCCCAGCTGAGGAGGAAGTTCTCTCTGCCAGCAGTTGCCAGGGAGGAGTGTCTGATGAATGCAGACATGGCTGAGTTACCCAAATGAGAAATAAGTGACCATTGCTGAGGAGGATTCACCCTGAGGATGTCTTTGTGCCAGCCTTTTAATGCTGTGTCAGCCTTGTGCACAGAGAGACCCAACCACTGCCCCTTGCTCTCAGCAGGGAAAAGCTGAGGAGAGGCTGAGGGAAGGGCTTTCAGCCCAAAGTTGAGAGACCTACCTATAGGCATCAGAGAGGGTCAGAAAGCCAAATTCACTGGTACTGTAGATGATGAGATCCTCAGCCATCTTGCTAAGGTGGATCATCAGCAGGGTGGCAACAGACAGGAATTCCACTGCAGAGAAGGCAGGAAATCAGGAGGGAAAAAAGGTGTTTGTTTGCTTGACAGCTCAGGGAGCCCTGACTAGAGCTTTGTGTGCTGATGATGGATTTCAGCCCCCTTATTAAAGGAGGTTAACTGGAAAGGGCTCAGAACGTGCTTCTGACAGTGCTGGGAAGAAGTGATGGAGTTGTGCTTACCCACAAAGTCTCTCTCACTGACAGCATCCATGCTGTTCAGGCTGATGAAAGCAAAGTCCAGCTCTGTAAGGAAGGTGATGGACACAGGAGGTCAGGCTTGGCATGACAGGAGCTTGAATGCAGCACCAGGGTACCCCAGTGTGCAGGTGACTGTGAGCCCTGGAGTGGGCCCAGGAACACAAACATCCTTAGTGGGGTCTAAGTTATTACCCCAGACAGCCAGGGGTGGTTCTGCTTATGCCCCCACCTTACAGGCATTGCCTGTCTCATTGCAGTAAAAAGCCTCCTGGCTTTCCAAGTCACTTGGTCTCCCACATCCCGTTCCTGAGTATCAGATCGTACGCTTTCTTATTTATTTATTACCCTCCACCCCCATGTTAAGGTGCTGCAACACCAAATAACAACAGGCCAATGTGCCAGTACTTCCCCAGGTCACAGATATTGTGAGCAGTTCTGCACCTCTCAATCACAGCGAGGTATTTACCACTGCACAGAAGCTCTCTATCGATTCCCAGTGGGTTGCCAGCCAGAGCACCGCTGCCAGGGGAGAAAGAAACAGGAGTCACGCATGAAATCCTGCACATTCCAGCCAAAACTCAGCTCTAGAGGCAGCAATGACACATCTCTGAAGATTTCCCTCCCCCTGTTCATTTTGGTGTGCTCTGAAGCTCAACAAACTCTGGAGCAAACCAGAATTTTTCTTCCAAAGAGGAAAAGCCTTTTGGTTCTTGATTTCAGGAAGGGATAAGAGCAGTATTTTTATGGTGATTGAAGCTGGGCTTGCCCCCTCACAGCTCTGCAATGCCTGTGGTATAGAGACCCTGGTGGCCCAGGGGATGTACAGATCTGCCTCTTGAGCAAGGTGAGGGCTGAGGATCACACAAGAAGTAAACTTTACCTTCCCAAAGGCAGGACGTTGATCCTCCTCTTCACCTCCCCCAGGCGCTCAGAGTCACGGGTCAGAGCAACAGCATGGCTGGGGAGGGACAGGAGAGATGAAACACCTGAAGCTGGAAAATGTCCCAACCCAGGAGGTAAGAATGGCCAAGGGATGGAGAGCAGGGAGTTGGTCACCATTGCCCAAGCCCTGTTTGATTTCCTGGTTGGTCAGAGCCACACAGGAGCATGGGGAGTTCCTGTCCCAGTTTGAAACATTCCCTCTTCTTTATCACCCCTCTCAGAGGGGGATGCACTCCTGGGCTCCAGCAGAGCAGCCCCCGAGGGTGGAGAAGCTCCTGCAGCCAGGGCTGAAAGGTGCTGACCTGAGCAAGAACTGGCTCCATCGGATGGGCTGAGCTTTCTGCAGGTGGGTGTAGCCAGGCAGGATGACATCGATTTCTCTGCATGGGAGAGCAGAGAAGGAGGTGAGAGCAGCTGTTAGGAGGGAGGGCAGGGGCAGGGCTGTGCCTCCCTCCTGCTGCTGCCCCACTGGTGTCACTCAAAGAACAAGCCTACAGGTCTCCTGGCCCGGCCAAGGCCCTGGATTTGGGAAAGGACTTACATGGCAGCGCGTTCCACCAGGGTCTTGATGAGCTGCAGGAGGTGTGTGGAGATGACAGAGAGGGAATTCTTCATGAACAGCTTCAAGTCAGTCACAACCTGCGTGAGATTGGCCACAGTCAGACTAAGCAAAATATGACAGACCTGGAGACCAAATATTGCTCACCAGAAAGCCTTGGCACAGTTATCCTCTTGTTCTGCGTGGTGGGAAGGTGCACCTTCCTCTCGCCAGATCTATCCCTGGTCACTGTCTGTGAAAGCTGTTTTGTGCTGCTTTCCATGAACAGAACCAGAACCAGGTATTTGTTAAATTTGAATCAGAGAACCTTCAACCAACACAAGTCAGACATCAGTAGAAGGACTGATGCCCAGCCAGCAGTCAGGGGTTCTGTAGGCTTTCAAAGCAATACCAGGGGAGGTTTGTGGCCTTTTACCACCAGGAAGCAATCCTGCAGATCCCATTCTCCTACGTGGGTGAGTCACTGCAGCATAACTAGTTTAAAGCCCAAGCACATGCTGGAGAGTGTCAGGGCAGGTGAGAGATGGCATAAAAAATTCAATTAAGGAACTGAGGTGGGCGAGGAATACAGAAGGAGGAAAAAAAAATATTCTGTACATACCTGATCATTCCTGCTTCTTCCAGTGTGCAACTTCCCAGCTACATCTCCAATCAGCTCCTGACAACAAGAGGAGGATTTCTGTCAGTATCTCTGCGTTCTAAGCAAGAGACTCCATGAGCAGATCTCCTCCCTGCCTGGAAGGGACTCAGCTCTAGGATCCTGTGAGTGCCCAGGGGATTGTTCTGGGGAGGGGCAGGTTTGGGTTCTGTGTTTGTACAGTGGCACTTCCATGGAAGGGGGCTTGGAGACACTGGAGTGTGCACTTGTGGTCCAGAGGAATTTCACAGAGGGACAGAGGCACATGCCCTTAACATCAGGCAGATGCAGCTACAGAGGAACAGGAACAAGAGGATAGAGAACCCAAACCTTTAGTCTGCGTTCATTGGCAGTGTGGATGTCCTCATCAGTTGGTTTCAGCACAAAGACTCCTTTGGACCATTCCTCAGAGATCTACAAACACCAGCAGATGGTGTTTATTACCACACCATATTTATACCACGATGATTATTAAATACAGGGAGGCTCCTGTCAGGTAAGGAGTCATTCATTCCAACACACAACAGTTTGTGAAGGAAAGAAATACCTTTTCCAGGCCACCCAGGATCTTCTCCAGCTCAGTTTTAGACAGGATTCCAGCCTTCTCCAAGGCTTTGGCATAAGCCATGCTCCCCTGAATATCAACTTCAGACAGTCTCTGATCATAGGAAATGGAAGCATTGAGCATCTCCATGACTGGATCTGTGCTTCCACTGAATCTTCCTCCCCAAAGTTTATCTCCCTGAGGGAGAAAGGAGCAAGTTAAAGAGGCCTGATAACTTCTTTTAAGCTCCTGTGGTAAGAGTTTTACCTGTGCAGAGGCCTTACAGCTTACCAAAGACTTCAAAAGCAACTCTGCAGTTCTATCAGGCACACAAAAAAAAAAAAAAAAGACACTTGAAGTGGATAATAATTAATAATCTACTTGATTTTTTAAACACCCCTGTCAAGTCTCTTCTCCTGCTGTTCACTGCAACTACCATGGACAGCAAGGAGCTGGCAGGACAGTTGTAAACTGATCTGTGCCGAGGCTTTACCAGTCACACAAAGCACTGTTGAGTAACCTCAGGAATTTTTTCCCTAGTGAGTGTCCCCGTGCCTGTGCCCATCCCTGCTGAAACAACGTGCCTGAGAGGACAGCAGGAGAGAGCTTAGAGAGGTAGGAGTGTGGGCATGTGCTTCTGGGCATCTTCGAGGCAGCTCTGTCAGAAAGCTGAAGGAAGGAAGATTGGGGGGGAATCAGAGTTTAAAAGGAAATGTCAGAGATCCTCACACTCATTTGGTGCTCCCCAAGAGCACAGCACAGGGGATGCTAAATTAAAGGCCATTCCAGAGGTTAAGAACTTGACTGGGGATCTGAAATTTCTAGGTATAAACTTAAGTATTATGAGTTTCCACCAAAGTTAAGGAGTGGGCCAGCAGAAACATTGCACCACATCCAGTTGCAATCAGGAAATCTAAACTGAAAGACTAACTTTAGGCAGCTGCAGGGCTCTGGTTGGAGCAGTGGCTGTACAGCCTGACAGATGATGGGCTGTAACCTGGAGCAGAGGAGGCCGGGGCTGTAGCAGCCATTTGGAAGCAGAAAGTGTGACTGGCCAAGCTGCCTGGTCACGTCTCACCAGGGAAGGAAACCGAAAACGCAGCTTTTGTTCGGGGAGGTGTTTACCCAAGCGGCTGGCAAGTGCCTCCTGCCCAAACACAACTCGTCAGGCACGAACCGCATCGCTAATTGGCCTTCCCCACGTCCAGGCAAGAACCCGGAGGCTCTGGGACTTACAGTTTAACTCGGCCGAGCCCCCCGGAGAAGCAAAGTTCACCCTCACCTCGGCTGCCATTCCGGACGGCGTTTGGTCCGTGCGACCCCGCAACTGCAGCGAGATGCGGGACGGGACGGGCGAGGAGGGGTGGCCAGGCGCTGATCCAGGTCCCGATCCCAGTCCTAGTCCCGATCCCGATGCCCGGAGGGGGGTCCCGCCGCCCCCCGGCCCCGCTCCGCCCGCAGCCCCGGCCGCTCTCTCGGCGCTCCCCGCGCTCGCAGCCCTCGGTGCGGGGCCCGCGGCTCGTCCCGCCCCGCCGGGGCGGAGTGTGCCCGGGCCGGCCCCGCTGCTGTCCCCCCTCCCTCGGTGTGCCCGGGCCGGCCCCGCTGCTGTCCCCCCTCCCTCGGTGTGCCCGGGCCGGCCCCGCTGCTGTCCCCATTCCTTCGGTGTCCCCGGGCCGGTCCCACTCCTGTCCCCTCGTCCTCGCACGGGCTGGTCCTGCTGTGCCTGGCGGAGTGCGAGATCACGGCACGGACTGTCCCTGTGCGCTGTCGGATGCCTTAGAGGAGATTCTTGTCCCTTTTCGGGTTTTTCTGCCGTTTAACCAGCCCTGTTGCCGCAGGACCTGGAGTAATTCAGGCGGGAAGGGACCTGGTCCAGGTGTCTTTCCTATGATCTTCTCTGTCTCATTATCCATCCCCTCTCTGAGTTGAAGTCTAAGGCACGGTGGGATTGCGTGGGTGTGCATGGGAATGCTGCTTTCTGGAGCAGAGAGGGTGCTGCCTCTGGCTGCCCAGCAAGGACCTTTTGCAGCTGCATTTCCAGTGTACTGCCTTCAGTATCAGTCCAGAACAAGGCTCAGACGCTGTACATAGCCAGCAATTAATTCACTGCTTCTCAAACATCTCCACTTATGATTATTTCCTTTTCTCTTTCAGACTTCCAGCTGCACAGAGCATCATGATGTCTACCCTGAGGACACACCTTTGAACCATTTTGTTGCCAGGTTCTTCTTCTTCTTCTGCAGTCCCTCACTTTTAGAGCTTCTTTTGTCATGTTCATCTTTTATGGGTGTCCGTACTCTGGGCTTTGACAGGAGGTTGCTGAGGATTTGAAAAGACAGCAAGCACTAGATTTACATCCAGAACAAACCACTTGATAATCAGCCTACATAAATTCTTGGCTTAAGTGCCTCCCTGTGGTCTGTAATGAGCAGAGATTTGAGACCAAAACCCAAATCACAATGAGTCACAGCAGGGTGATGGTGAAAGCCTGAAGGTACCACACACTCCTGCAATGTTTGTGGAACTTCAGAGACCTCCACGGGCCCCTCCAATCTAAATTATTTCACAATTCTAAGAAAGGGGTGGATGGGTGGGAAGTACCAGTGACCATGAATTACTTATTTAAGTAAGAGACTGAGATGTGATAATCTGCTAAAACTTCCCTTTTCCTTTCAGTTTGGCAGGACCCTGTGTCATCAGCACTGGCCATGAGGAACAATGCCAGATATTTGCTGCTGGGAGCAAGGGGAAATCTATTCAACTGAGGCCCCTGAAGGTACTGAGCAAGAGTTGGAAGATGCAAATAGGGAAAATGAGGGGAGTGGCACAGGTTAAGAAAGATTACTGGAGGAAAAAGAACTGCAAGGTGGAGATGAGGAAAACTCCCTTCTTCTGACTCTGTAGGGGCTGAGTATTGGGGTTCCCTATTACTTTCTTGTTCCTTTAGCCTGTCAGCTTGGTGTGCTTAAGTGATTTCCTGGCAACAGGTCTGGAAAGTGAGACAGGAGCCAAAACAGAAACACTGCAGGAAGTAAGGGAGCAAACAGAAAGGAGATTTATGGACAGGTACTTGAAATGTGCTGTTCTTTAAGTGCCAGGACAATGGATCAGATTTATGGCCAGAAAAAGGAGAAAGAGGTGGGAAGTGTTGAAAAAAGGGAAGTTTGCTATTGCTGGTCCTTCTACCACGTGTTCAAAGCACAAACAGTGCAAAGTAGAATGAAGGCACTGTGTCTCCTGGGGTACTTTTGTTAATGGCAGGAGATTTAGCTCCTGGCAGTTTGTGCTGTCTGTGCTGTAGCCCTTGCCCTAAACTTGGTGAGGCAATGCTTGTGTCACTGCCATTACCTGTGTGCCTCACAGTCTGAGTCAACAATGTGTTGCTGCATCAGCACGGAGAGAAGGTGCTGAGCGAAACACCAGCTTTGCAATGCTGTGGCAGAAAAGAGATTTTGCTGGGTAAAAAAGGGACAATCAGCTCCCTGTTGCAATTCTGCCAGCCTCCCCTCCAAGAGGCACGTCTCCAAGTGCAAGCGAGGGAAGAGCCCACATTCCTTCAAACCCCAAACCTCACGAGAGCTGAGGGAGCCCAACTTTGCCCCCAGGAAGAAAGACGCGAGACAGGAGTTTCAGCGAACTACAGACACCCCAGTGTTTATTAACTCCAGATTAGTGGGATAGGCACAACGCTGCATCCACGGGATCTCTCCCCACACTCTAAGCTTGTTCCTTCAGCCTCTTGAGCAGCTCCCGGAGCTGCTCGATCTGGGCGGACACGCTGCTCTTGGCGGTGCCGCCCGGGGCCGTGTACTGCTCCACGCTGCTGACCACGCTGAACACCTGGGACACGTCACTGCCGAACAGGGGGCTGGGGGGACAGGGGAGGGGTGTCAGTGGACAGCACGAGGGGCTGGGGATGCTTTATGTGCTCATTGTTTATAGAGGTGGTGAGAGAGTGAGGATGGAGCCTTTTTCCAAGGGGAAAGGCCTCCTGCAGCCCTGCTCCTGCACTCCTGGTGCCTCAGGGCAGCTGCTGGTGGCAGATCAAAGAGGTAGCTCCAAGAGGAGACCGAGGAAGTTCGGAGCCAAATCCCTCAGGGGGCGGGTACCTTGAGGTCAGGGTGTGAGTTTCTCCCAGTCCCTCCCAACAGCTGCTGCCTGTGCCCCACTGGAGCAGAATGGAAGTGACATTGTCCCCCTTCAGTGTTTTCAATCTCAACAGCAACAGCCTTGATATTCAGGCCAGGAGGATTTTGGGGCCCGGCCCGACCCAGGCACTTTGGGGAAGGGCTCATTCCCTGAGAGTCTGATCCCTGTCTATGGAGGGAAATCAAGGCAAGGTGACAGTGACACAAACCTGATGCTCTTCAGGTCCTCCAGGCTGAGATTATTGATGGTGGTGCCTTTGGTCTCGGCGAGGTGGACGGCCTTGCCAGAGGCGATGTGGGCTTGTCTGAACGGCATCTGCAGTGAGAAGCAGAGGTTGCATTCAGTGACCAGACAACTGGGATGCTTTTCAGTGGGAAAAAAAAAAAATAGATGTGCTGTCATTTTTGGTTGGCCTGTTTTCCATTAGGGCAATTGAACCCAGGTTTTCTGGAGTGGAAGAGGGGAGGTTTTAGGAGGTAACACTCCACCTGTAAATTACTATCAAGCCCCTCCCCAGCAGCAGTTCCACTGATTGGGATACATGTAAGGAATGTGTTCCCAGCTTTTGTGTTTGTTGACCCACACTGCTCATGAGCTGGGGACAGAACAGCAGGCCTTGTCTTGACAGAACAGCACTCTGCACCCAGAGAGATCACAGCTCCGAGTCTCTCTCTGATACTCACTCCTTTATGAACCAAGTAGAGAGCCAGGTCAGATGACAGGATCTCTGGGGTCAGTGCCTTCTCCATGTTCTCCTTGTTGATCTGCAGAAGGGAGGTGAGAGGGAAGTGTTATCATCAGCTCCTCTTTGGGGATGCATTGGCTGACAGTGGGGACCATAGTGAGCAGTGCGGGCAAAGCAGCAAAGAGCCTTCATCTCAGGGCCAGCCTGGAGCTCTGTCTCCTGTGTTACTGACACAGTGTGCACCATGACCGTGTTCAACAACATAGACTGAACTGACCTGGAGGGTGGAAATCACTCCTGTGGCAACCTGGAGCACAGCATTCAGGGTGTCTACAACATCAAAGACGGCCTCCTTGTCCTCCTGTGTGAGAACAGGGATGGAAATGGCTGTAAGTCAGCCTGATGGAGCCCAAGAGGCTGAGCAGCCCAGCCAGCAGAGCAGGTGTGTCATTCCAGAGGCTCCTGCCATGGCCAGGGTGGCACCTGCAGCACTGCAGTGCCTCAGCCCCTTTCCCAGCACCCTGCACACAGGCAGGATCTGTGCAGGAAAATGGAGTGACAGGACAGCTCAAGAGTAGTGGACCAACTGTGTGTGCTCAGAGAGATGGTGTGAAAATCAACAAGTGCTTTACCTGCAGGTCCTTGTTGTAGGTGCTGGGGAGTCCTTTGAGGACCATGAGAATAGCAGCCAACTGCAGAGAGAGACAGGCAGGGCAGGGAGTTACAGGGCAAGGCACATCCCCCAGCACAGGTTCAGAGCCCAGGCTGGGCACAGCTCTTCATGCAGAGGGACAAGGAAGGTGCTTCAGCCCTGGCAGGAGCAGTTTCCCCTCCCACTTCCTCCTTTCTCAGGCTCACCCTTCCGAACACTCGTCCAGCTTTGCTGCGGATCAGTTCCAGACTGTCAGGGTTCTTCTTCTGAGGCATCAGGCTGCTGCCAGAGCTGCAAGGAAGGTGTTTGGAGTGCAGTGGTGAGTCAGATATTGCAAACCCTGCTAGTCAAGGAAGGGCTTTGGCAGCATTCCCAGCTGAGGTGGAAGTTCTCTCTGCCAGCAGTTACCAGGGACTGAATGGAGTCTGGACTGAACTCAGACTTGGTTGAGTTACCAGAGCAGAAATAAGTGACCATTGCTGAGAAGGATTCACCCTGAGGCTGTCATTGTGCCAACCTTTTAATGCTGTGTCAGCCTTGTGCATAGAGAGACCCAACCACTGCCCCATCAGGTGAGGACAGCTCAGGAGGGAGGACAGCTAATGAGAATTACACCATAGAGACCAGAAACCTACCAGTAGGTATCAGAGAGGGTCAGAAAGCCAAATTCACTGGTACTGTAGATGATGAGATCCTCAGCCATCTTGCTAAGGTGGATCATCAGCAGGGTGGCAACAGACAGGAATTCCACTGCAGAGAAGGCAGGAAATCAGGAGGGCAAAAAGGTGTTTGTTTGCTTGACAGCTCAGGGAGCCCTGACTAGAGCTTTGTGTCCTGATGATGGATTTCAGCCCCCTTATTAAAGGAGGTTAACTGGAAAGGCCTCAGAACCTGCTTCTGACAGTGCTGGGAAGAAGTGATGGAGTTGTGCTTACCCACAAAGTCTCTCTCACTGACAGCATCCATGCTGTTCAGG